ACCAGTACCAGGGTCATCGTAATGGCGCCACAATAAAGGGAGTTAATTATTTCGGCCCAAAGTCGGAATTTATTTTGAGTGGTTCCGATTGTGGTAACGTTTTCTTCTGGGAAAAGAACACTGAAGCGATCGTCAATTTCATGTTGGCCGATGATAATGGTGTTGTAAGTTAATTTTTTTTTACCAATACACAATTTCAAATATGTATAACTTAAGTTATAACACTTATAATTAATTAATCTGTATTTTCCTTTTGTAATTTTTTTTTTATTATCTTAAAAAAGATAACTTATGTTTTTTTCAAGGTAAATGTGTTAGAACCTCATCCAAGTTTACCTTTTCTATGTACGAGTGGTTTAGATTGGGACGTAAAATTGTGGGTGCCATCTAGAGATGACGACCCGCCCATGACGGGAATCGCAGACGCCATAAAATCCAACAGCAAAGCCCGTGCAAGTTGGTCATCTTCCACCGACATAAACGAAAGTCAAATGTTATGGATGCTCTGGCGTCATCTTAGAAATTCAAACAGACAGGTAAAAATGAAAGGAAAACACATGCAGGCATCAATATATTATTAAATTATTTATTCACAGAGAGCAGCTGCTTCTGGGGCAGAGGACTTTATACAATTCGTTAATAATTCTTCCAACAGTGTTAATAATTCTTCAAGCAGTTCTCCGAGTTCGTCACGTTCTGGTTCTGGAGATAGCAGTATTGACTCGGACCCGGACAGCCCCCCTGGCTGTACTACATCATAAACAACGAATAAGATAGAGTGTGATCTTGTAAGGTTTGTATTTGTTTTGGGTTTTCTTTATCTGAGGTTTTGTAAACAAAAAAAAAATTCGTCCTTTCGCTAATAAAAAGCGATTCCGAAGTCACGGTAGTCAGCAAAAATTATTCTGAAATTTCCCTCTTTTAACAATTAGTTTACTAGCCACACACACGCAAAACAGAGAATAAAAAATGGAACATTAATATTCTCGTTCATATATCGTAGTTATATACATCACAGTTACTAGTTTATCTGTTGTATATTTATTGTTTGTAATATAAAGAATTAATAAAAAGGATATTTCATTAATATTTCGAAAAGCGTTTGTTAAAAATCTGTAATTTACCATAGCCTGATTCAAAAACTTTTAATGACAGAAACTCAGTTCAAATATCAGGACTTCTAACATGTAATAAATAATATTTCTTTATGGTCCTAATGGTATTATATTTCAGTTGAATACAAAAATTTACAATTAACACAAAAGAATAATTGTTTATTATCATGTTTTTGAATAATTATAATGAAACTAATTTGTTCATTTTTTAAATTAACAATTATTAAAATATTCCAATTGCTTGGGCAAGCCCTGCATACAATATAAGTGTAACAAAACTAGATGTAATAGTAATTATTGCTTTTAATGACAATGCAATCCATGGACCTATTGCTAAAGATTTAAACAATAAATCCAGTATTAAAGCTTTATAGGATGAAAATATTAATAATGATACAACTATGGGTCTTAAACGGGCTTTCAAATCATGTCTTGTCCACAACCAAACCAAAGTAGCTGTGGAAATGTGCTGTACCAATGCAATATTTGATTCTAGTGATTTTTGAATGTATTTCCAATCAAACTCTGCTCCTCTTGCACCCACCCAAAGAAGAAGGGCCCTTGAAAGAATTACTTCAGCTGTTGCCCAACCTATTCCAGCAGTTAGAACTTTGCTGTGCCCTTTTCCAGGAATACTTTTTAAAATTAAATATAGACCTACTAAATCTGTCAGATCTACTGTGGCTTTTAGGAATTCCTAAAAAACAATTGCTTTGTAGTACTTGTCAATTTTGGGATACAACTTCTTACACCTAAAAAGTCTATAGTATCTGTTTCACTGTCTGGAAAGAACGTTGCTAACACTAACATTTTTGCTAGTTGAGTAAAGATATAAGTAGAACCAGCTTGAATACACTTCCAAAATGCCCCATATTCGGACCTAAACAATGAAATACACTTTGGAGCTCTGTTTGTTAATTAGTTGACAATAGTACTTACAATCCTGAATATTTATACGTGAGATAATAGGGAACATAAATAAGTGCTATACAATTACCAAAGTGATAAAGTGTCATGTTTGACTACAAAATATTATTTTCTTATAAGAAATTCTTATTTTTAAAATCACTTTGAAGCACCACAATTGTAGGTTAGGTCGGTAGGTTACGTATAATGCATTGCGCAGTTGTATTGTTGGTTGCCTAAGAATAATCTCCTGTCAGGGATTTGACCTTGATGTATGACATTTAAATTTGAGCTATCTATGATTTGAGCCTTTGAGGTTAGTTCTCAATAGTTGTGCAGCGGTTTCGTGTAATTGTTTAAAAAATTATTAAATAAGGCAATAATTTTTGTAAAGTAAACAATGGACAGGTCGGGAGATAAATTTAGAAAAATGGAAGATGAAATGAGCCGGTACATGCATTGAATTTAAAGTATTATTTTGTCGTATTCAACTTACGTTTTCTTTTGCAGGTTTGAGGCTGAAATTTCAGGACTACCTATGTCAGGTGCTGTTTCGTTTAATCCAGGTTATCCAACTCTCAATTTGCCCGGCTTTGGTCATATTCCACCACCTCCTGCTCCTCCTATGATGATACCTCAACAGGTGAAAGGTACTATTAGAAGGATTAATGACGCCCCTCAGCCAGCAGTTGTGTCTGCAAAACCAACCCTTTACACTCCAACTAAAACCATTCAACAACCTCAGCAACAGCCTATTATGCAAAGTCAAGTAGATTTTATGGCATTACAGTCAGAAGTCGACAAGAAATTAAAAAAACTAAAAGAAAAGGTCAGTGTACCTGCAGAACAAGCAATTTCACAAGGTACAGTAAAATATTCTTTTAGTAATGACAGTAGTTTTTAATATAATTTTTATTGCAGGAAAAGCTAGTAGTGCATTTCAGTCATTTGGCCCTGATGATTATAAGAGAAGGGGTAAAAACAAAAAGTTATTGCGAACAGCAGGTGGTCAAGTTTGGGAGGATCCAACTTTAACTGATTGGTCTGAGGATGACTTTAGAATATTTTGTGGTGATTTAGGAAATGATGTTACAGATGAGCTTTTGACTAGAACATTTAATAAATATCCATCATTTGTTAAAGCTAGAGTTGTTAGAGATAAAAGAACAAACAAGAGTAGGGGCTATGGATTCGTCAGTTTCAAGGATCCATCAGATTTCACAAAAGCCATGAAAGAAATGAATGGTAAGTTTGCTTTTCCAATCTTATTTCTCTGCTTTTTATGCTAGTAATTTGATATTAGCTAAATCTTATTTTAAATAGCAAATTTGCTTTCTATTAAAATTGAACTGTTAAAAAAAAGATATTGTGAATTTCTAAAAGTAGACAATTACCTATTATTTAGGCAGTGCATTAAAAATATTTGCAGAAATTGTTTTTACATTCTTGAATGAGGAGTTAATGAAAAATAAATATTTTAAAATTTTGTGAGATGCATATGGCATGAGTATAGAATCTACATTCACTTTTGTTTTTACTTTCCACAAAATTTGAAATACAATTGTTTCTTATCAATATTCTCTCATTTTCGCAACCACGTCACACAATTTTACAATTCTTTAATACGCATTTTTAAATTGATGCATTGTTTTATCGTTTTGTTGTTGGGAATTTTCCGAATTATAATAGAAAAATTTATGACAAACTATTTCAGTTTGACGTTAAAAGAGAAAAGTACCTGTATACTTTTACTTATCACCAAANTTTCAGAAACTTTTCACATAATAAATGCGTCCAATTCTACTTTTACACGACTTCAATTTTACGCAGCCTAAGAACAAAGAAGAAACAATGTACGGAATTTTATCTACTGTACAGTTTCTTCTTTATTATATTATTCTGCACACTTTCAAGATTCAAGAACCATTCTAGTATTGCTAATAAATAGAATGTAATTTGTGCGCCGATTCGCCGTAAAAACAGAATTCACTGTATTATCTTTTCCTTAATCGTGATAACCGTCTTCCACGATTGTTTCTGTACTTTTAATCACTTTGTACGCCGTGTCATTATCAGTTGAAATTACGATCATCCCGAGTGAATCATACAACATTTGTACATAGTCGTTCATTAATATCGTACTAGAAACACATACTATACTTACGTTGTAACTATGAGAAAAGCGCCCTTATTTTGAAGGGTTTTTTTTTTCTAGCATGTATTTTCTGTAATAATAATGCGAGAAAATGAATTGACAAAGAGCTGTCACACAATAAGCAGGGTCTTGAGATATATATTTTACCAGTGGCTGTTCTTCGTTGATTTTTGTAAAACCTTTATAGATAATAAATAAACCGAGTTATAGCCCTAGTTATAGTGTATAGTAGGAATTAGAATGACAGTTTTTTATTGATATTTATCGTATGTTCCTGTATATATGTATCAACTCGTAGTAGAAATATGGTTCGGTTTCAAATGTTAAGGAGGACCAAACAAAATAGAAATCTTAAAGTTCCTAGTACTTATATTTCTGATATATATTAATTATGTAATATTATCGTCTCCCTAACATTAAGTATTTCGTCGTTCTTCGATTTTTGTTTATTTGTAATTTGTTAAATCATTTTCTTTTCTGTATAGATGACTTTTTGTAGTGTAAGTTTTAGACTGACTATATTACATTTTCAAGAAGTTGTGGGACGTTGTGTTATTGTCACAAAAGAAAAGTTCCATCATTTAGTTTTGGTTGCACAAAATTTTAATTATAGTTTTATTTTGCTTACTCTATTATTTCCACAATCAAGCTTTTGAAATTAATTTATACATGTGATTTACATTAATTTTGACAAAATGTTGTACAGGATGTCACTTTACAAATTTCTCAATTCTTTTTAAGATGTTTATAAATTTTTCTTTAGTATTAATTTTTTCATTATGATAAGGTGGTCAATTCAAAGACTGACTTCTTTCTACCCTTAGTCAATATTCTCATTTCCGAAAAACTATAACGTCCTACATCCTGAATTATTTGCAAACAGTAATTTACTTAAGGTCTTATTATGCCCGTTTTTCTTCCCGTCTCTCCTTGTCCGTACTCACTTTTTTTTCTAAAAGATTCTTAATAATAGTGACTTTTATAGTCCAACATTAATTGGTAATTTGACACCCTGTATTTATTCAACACAAGTAATTTCAAATACTTTTTTTTCTAAAGTTATGGAGAATTTCGTAATAAAATAAGATTAATTAAATATTAACATTCCTTATGTGACACATGTTGTTTTATTATTAATAAGTTTATCAGAATACTGAAATTTATTTAATGCTCATTATAGTTCTTATTCCTTCAGGTATAAAGATGGTAGTGACCTTTTCAAGGAAGGAAAACTGTTGAATAATCTGTTACATTACTATTAGTTCACAAAGAATTGCTACCGATTTCAGTAATTTAATACAAAATACCTAAATAATTGTCTAAATTTTATATGTGATTATGGTTACATTTTGAACAAATATTCTTTTCATCCCATGTTATATTTTTAATTACTACATTCCAGTTATTTATTTTATATGTATACTCTGATACTATTTCATGTACAAGAAAAAATACAAAGAATATCTAGAATTTTTTTGTATTTTTTCTTAGATATAAAATTGTTTCTTGTTTTAGAAATAAAAATCAACCTTATAAATTAGTTGTTTGTTACAATCGGTTGATTTTTATTTCATATTACTAAAATTGTTTAATTAACAGTAGCACTTTTTTACTATTAGAAATGATCGCTAACCGCTACTTTATTGTCTTTTAAAAAGCTATTAAATGTTCACAGAATTTCAGAAAATAAGGTAAAAATATTTGTGACTTTTATACATATCCCAATAAAAAAAATAGATTAAAGTGCGTTAAATACATAACTGTAATAACACGATGAGGCGCAGGAGTATAAGGCTTTTATAAAAAAGATATTTTTTGACCTGTGAGCATTAAGACATCCGCACTAACGAAGTAAATGTGTCATATCAGAAGAAAAAAATAATAAAACGAGGAAACCGGCGATGGATGTAATTATTTACTATCATTCATGAATTCACTTTTAATAATAATAATAATATGATATTTAATTATTAAAAAAAAAAAATTAAAATGGTAACATGTACTCGTTACGATGTATAAGCATGTGTGTATGTAGATCAAAAATCGTGTTTAGCGGAAATGGATGTAAAACCTAAAATAATAAGAATATTTGCAATGAGTATCCATAAAATTATGTATAAAAGATGAAGAATGTGAATTTACGTGATAATTTAATTTCGACGGTTTGATGGAAATAATGCAGTGTATTTATTGTAAATGTTAGGTCATAATCTGATGTGTATTATATACCTAACTATCATGGTGGTCTAGGCAATAATGTGTACATTATTTTCATTAAAGAAATTATTCGTACCTATACCAACCATTTATTACTTACTCTATTTGTACACGTAGTACAACTATGTTTGTAGCTCTGAAAAAACGTTAATTGGTTGATCCCATATAAATCATTTTTATGTAGCTAAAGTTTATCAAACATTAATAACTAAATATAATCTCCAACGAAAATAACCTTTTCTCTTCATAATGTACTACAAACATTTATGGGATTCCCCTATATCAGAAAAGTATATACATACATTTATTTTTTAAATCAAGCTGAAAGAATTGATGCTGTAATATTGCTTAAATGATCATTTCATGTATGAGGGTAAGGTAAAAGTTACTTGTAATTATTTTTATAAGCATGTGTATAAAATGTGCCCGACCAATGGTAGTTTACTGATAACAAGTCAATAATCTGAGAAAATTAGATTCCTAGAATAGTATCGTGTCCATGTCCTTCCTTTTGTATGTTTAAACATAATATATGCGGTTGGACCGTGCTTTTAAAAAATTTAAGAACTATCGGACCGTGCACAGATGCAGAAGACACTTCCTCGTTTCATTTCATTCATTTGCAATGATTTATCTGTTTCTATGGTTTCTGCGTGAAAAGTGTAAAGAAAACTATTATTATTAATATGTGCAAATATGTGTGAATGTGTATATTGGGTGAAAATCTTACGGAAAAGTATTTTGTTCTAGTTTATTCCGCAAAAAATGTTTTACATTTTCCTAATTTATCATAAACTTGTAATTTACCTATCAAACATTGAATTATAACAGTTCAACATCTAATAATAATAATTTACTTACTAGTGTATAAAACCTGTTAATGTTAAGGTTTTTGAAGACGTAGCTTAGGAGAGAAAATTTTACTGGATAAAATTACTCATTTCTCTGCAACAAAAATAAATTAGTAGGTGTATTGTTTGACATCCATTTTGTCCTTTTTTTAAATTATTATGTGTACGATAACAATTTGTGTTGAAATTGGAATATTTTTATTTTGATAAGTTCAGAATTTGACAGCTCATAAAACCTATAAATGTATATTATTTTGAAGTTAATTTAGATTTACGTTTTATAAAAACTAATTGGAGTTGTCCTACGTAAGAATTAGCAAGACTCAAATATTAATTTATGTTTATAAAGGTTTAATTACGTTTTTGTTTTTATTTTTAGAATAAATATGGATGAAACCATGTCTGATGAAGATGTTGAAAAAACTCAAGAAACAGCCAATCATGTGAATCATATTGAAAATGCAAAACGTTTAAAGACTGATAATTGTAATTTTAATGAAAATTCAACCGATTCTGCCTGCACTAGTAAGGACACCACCTCCCAAAATAATACTGAAGAAGATACAAATGCAAATGCTGCAGAAGAACAAGAAACACCTAGTAATAATACAAGTCCTATCATTAGTGGTTTTCCCAGAAGATTCAATTCATCAACTAGAAATTACAGACGAATTATTGTAGATGATGAATCAACTCGCTCAAGTGAAAATGGCAGGTAAATATCCAGTAGCAGTATCTTTTTTATGGATATACAATAGCTAATGGTTCTTCTTGTTCTTAATTATATAATAATATTATTAGTTCTTACTTCTTTAAAAATTGTAGTGGAGAT